AGAATGAGATGTGTCTGTGCTCATATGGAAAGATTCCCAAAATAAATTATTTCATGAAAAATATAATATTAGGAATGGCTTGCCTTGTTTACCTTTGAATAAAATATTTTATGAGTTATATACATAGGGTTATATATGCTACCACATGCATAATGTCTTCCCCCTGGAAGAAATTAAACTGCTAAATCCATGAAGAGGAACTGAAAAGGTGTCAAGAGATTCTGTTGCTATCTGGTTAATGGTTCTCTACTACTTGAATGCAATGTGCCATGTACGTATTACTAAAATCCAGAATTGGAACGCTCACACACTGAAGGCTTGGGAATAAAGGTCAGATTGACCAAAAAGGCATCAATCCACCTGGAATTTTGCAGCTGCCTGTTTCCCTTGCTTTCAACCCACTTGGTTTTCTGCTTTGGGATTATTTTTTCACTTCAGATGCTTATTTCCTGTTGAACTTTGATTAGCTGACTCCTACTCTTTAATTCTTCCTGGCATACAATCTATCTGGCTTGCCTTAATTGACTTTGCCTCCTTTGTCCTCGGACCTGGAGTCTGACTGCAGCTGTTTCTATTCCCAAGTCAGCCCATTTTGGCCTCAGTATATCCACTTTATTCTGGTCTCAACTCTCTCACTCCGGCAATTTCAGCCAATATGTCATCTTGCAGAAGAAAATTATAAATAACTTTCTTAAAAACACAAGTATGCACTGCCATTTTGTCCTTTTTTTTTTAATAAATTTTAAGAATTTTAATCTAGGCATTCTTCTGGATTCAAAAACTAGGAAAACAGCCTTGTAAATCAACGAGCAGCAGCAAAAGTTCAAAGGGACAGGTCCCATCTATCCTCACATAGAAAGATCACTTTTGAGAACTGAACTCCCCTCAAAATCTGGTAAACTTGTATTCCAATGATGGCTCATTGAAATAATCAGGACCTGAGGTCTTTACAAACGTTTTCTATCCAGGATCTGAGTATGTGTGATCCTCCTATACTGAGGAGAATAAATCTGGATAAAAGTGTCTTATGACAGCCGAAACCGCTTTGGCTCAGTGGATAGAGCATCGGTCTGTGGACTGAAGAGTCCCAGGTTCGATTCCGGTCAAGGGCATGTACATTGGTTGCGGGCACATCCCCGATGGGGGTGTGCAGGAGGCAGCTGCTCGATGTATCTCTCTCATTGATGTTTCTAACTCTCTATCCCTCGCCCTTCCTCTCTGTGAAAAATCAATAAAATATATTTAAAAAAATAAAAGACTGGAAGTATCAACTTGACTAAACCTTAAAAAAAAAAAAAGAAGAAGAAGAAGAAGAAGAAGAAGAAGAAGAAAAAGAAAGTGTTCTACAACAGTCTTAGCATCCAGTCTCAAATTCCCTTACAAGAATGAACCCAAAGACAGGTGGGTGTCCCAATGCCTTGAGAAGATGCAGGACAATAAGTCTCTGTGGGGGACAGCATCTCAGCAGGGAGAGCCATTATGGCTGGTAAGGCAACAAAGGGGTTCCAGGAACACGAAAAAAAGCTGCCTTGGTCTTTAAGTGTGCCCACTTGAGCTTCGCTATGGCAACCTCATGGCTCACTAGTCAGGTCCCTTTTTTTCTCTGAATATGACAACAATTTCCAAGCTGTTCCCGTCCAGCCCACCAAAACAAGTGTGTTAGGGAAAGGCCAGAATCTTTCCAGAACTAAATGTTCTGTGACCCTAGTCAGTCAGACCCCTTGACAAGGAAAATCTGGCCAGAGGCCATTTAAGAGCTCAACCAGGAAGAATGTATTGTTGCCTCTGCTAGAGAGATACAAAGGAGAGCTTGTTATGCATATAACGTCTGTACTCATCAGCAAGCCTGAGACCTTTTGACCTATGGTCTTAGGTGCCACCAAATCTGTGGAATATAAATTTTTAAAAATTCCATAACTGGCACCGTCACTGGAACCCTGAAGGCCTACTAAAGCTGGCTATCCACCTCGGCTCCTGGTCACTCTCAGAGAGCTATTTCTCCAGGTCTGTTTCTCCAAGATCTACTCCTACTCCCCAAACTCTCTAGCTTTTCAAATGAGGAACCAAACCCATAGATACCCAACCACTTCTGGAATTTCAGAGAAACCAGAGAGGAGCCCTGAAACATTAGCACAAAACTAGCGATGGACCAGAGCCAGAGTTATAGCCCATAATTAGCACTTAGATCCTGCAGCTTCTGGAAGACCTTGGAGCGGGAGAGGCTGGTGGCCTGGGAGCCTCACTCTGGCATCTAAAGCAGATAGAAAGGAATATTCCATTCAACACCATACATCCAACCAGGGACCATCGCCATCCTCCCCCCACCCAATCAACATCCTCTGATATTCTAGTTTAAAACCAAATGCTCTGACCTAATTTCAGCCTTTTAAAAACAGAAATTTCCTTGGGCAGGGCCCTAACTTAATCAAGCTTTTGTCTGATGCTGATACAGTCAGTTCGGCAGTTGGCTGCCAGCACAGAGGTGGTTATCCTCAGCCAGCATCAGTCTGAGTCAATTCAGTCAGAAATACTGTGTACACAACAGGGATATCTGTGGGCCAGACAAACGGGGATTCCCCTGTCAGCATGGAGTATAACCAGAATAAGGCTCATGTATAAATAGCAATGATTGAACAAATTCGTGGAAATCATAATCCCACCTGGGCCAAGAGATACAGACCAATGGAAAAATATCCCTAGAAATGAAAACTTTCTCTGCAGCGTTAAAGGTTCCTTCTTTCAATGTTGTAGAGGTGAGACCTTGCTTACCTGGCCTTGATGGTGAGTGACAGCGCATTGCGGACAGATAGTCAGGGTGGGTAGGGTTTATACATGTCCTCTCACAACTGACCAGTGTTGACACTGGCTAGAAAAAATAATCGGACCAGACTCCCAGAAATCAAGAGTGTCCTTTTTATGCTAATACTCCCACTATAAGCTTACAAGAGACAGGCTATGGTGGTAGGGATAGGATCATGGATCAGGCTCTGAATGGCTCTTTTGTGGTCCGGATCCTGTCATGATGAGATCTAGGGCTAGGGTGTATTAGGATATTTCTTCCCTAGGTAGGAGTTGAGCAAAATAATGTTTTCCTTTCCAGTGTGCTTTAGGCCTGTATTGGTCCTCTCTGATAAAGTTACGGGAGTATAGATCAACTACCCTCTCAGAGCTTCTCCCACAGGAGGCTGTGAGACACAAGACTCAGTTCCCAGGTGCCTGGCTCTACCACCCACTCTCCAATGGAGGCTGATGGGCAGTGCAGGTCCTGGGGCCTGCTGGTCCCTCTTCCTGAGCCCAACTCCAATTTTAAGATTTTCTCCTATTGTTTTAAATATATTGATGGGAAAGAAGGGGCTCAGAGTACTTCTCCCCCGAGGGCAGGGTTTTAATTACTCCCAGCCCTCAAGAGTGGATTATTTATGCCTAAACTCTGATTTTTCCTATATTAACTAATGGACTAAAATACATTCAGCAATAGCTAATGTACTTGATTGTTTCATCCCACGGAAGTAAGACCATATGACTAAATCAAAATTTGAAACTAAAAAGAGAAAGTGGCTAACGCATATGTTGAGAGCATTCAAAGGTGTTTAAACATAAAATGTTGCAAGGATGGAAGCTCACAGGTTAGGATATACTTGAAATTGTACAGGTGGCAAGAGATCATGACCTGCATGTGAATTTCACTTCTAGTACATTCTAGTGAGGCCTGTGAAAGCCCCTTTTATTCAGATATTGAATTTGACTTGAAATGAGAGCTAGAATAATGAAATAAATATATAAAAACAGAAAAATTCTTTATGCAAGCAATAGTTAAACATGACATTACCTTCACAAAACCCTTCTGTAATTTAGTCCTTACCAGAATATAAGTTTTTGATGTGTGATTTACAAATAAGAAATATAAAGCTTAATCAAAAGTTATGTAATTTGCTTCATCTTCACATAAATGGAAATCATGTTTTATTATTATTAACCTCAAATCCTTCTTCGTTGGACTTCAACGAAGTCCTTCACTCATTAGCTAGGTAATTACTGACTAATTACTCCGTATGGGCCTTGTCTGCTTGATCTGTAATTTTAATAAGGGCTCCATGTAGCAGGTGTGGTACCCAGGATTCTTTTTGTTTGGGTCCAGCTTCCTCCTCTTTGTGCGGTAAACTACTCTCCTGAACAATAGCCAGGAAGAGAAAAGCAAACCACAAAAAGCACCACCCAAACTCCTTCCCATATCAAGAGGTTTTGCTGACCAATATCCAAACTAGCATCAATCATTTCCACAAATAAAGGGAGCCCATCCCTGTCATGGCACCTGTATTCACTATTTACCTGCTTGATCGGTACCCTGAGTATTGGAGGCAACACATAGCTAGAGTCACAATGAATAATCATCACTTCTAAAAAAAACAAAACAAAACAAAACAAAACCTCTGGACGTATGCATTCCACAGAACTAATCAATGAAAGAAAACAACCACAACCCAAAACCTGTTGAACCAAACAACACCAAAATGCCTAGTGGTTTACACTAGGCACAGCATTTCCCATCACACCTATGCCTCTAATTTTATCCTGTCAGCTCTTGCATGAAAAGCACCGGTCTTGAAATCACTAAGTTACTTAGAATAAATACGAGACAAGAGATTCCTTAGGAGAAATATGCTCCAGCCTGCACAGAGTGTCATTCTTTCTCTTCTATTATTGTGTCATGTAACCTAAAAACCATGGACAAGTGGGGCTTCTAGATAGTTCACACTAACGTTACTTCTTGGATTCCAAAGCTTACCTGGTGGGATGCACAACCTGACCACACAGACCTTGCAGAGCATACATCCACAAGCCACTGCTGCTCTCAAAAGCAGCTCTCTCAATGCATGTCCAGGATCTATTCATCGCCTGGGGTGTGTGTGGGGTGGGGTCGGTGGGGGGTTGGGTGGGAAAGACTGGCTGCTGATGACACCCTCCTGGGACTGGGCACACAGCAAGGGAAAAACACTTACTTGCTCCCATGTGATGGGTCTCCGCTCCTTGGAGCCCTTGATGGAGCTGGGCTCCTGGGAGCCCTTTTTCTCCTCCTGGGCTTCTCTTTCTTTCTGATCTCTCTGGCTTCCTGGGCTCCGGTGGCTTAGATGGTGTTGCTAGATTAGCATCTGCCCTCACCAGCTGATAGGAAACGGCCCCACGGAATGGCCAGCCAGAGAGAGACCCGAGTCACCGGGGCAGGCGCTCAGCCACTAACCCAGGGAAACCCTCCGGCCAGATGCGCAGTGGAGCCGCGCCCGCCCGCTGCCTGCAAGCTGTTTTGTGTTCTTCCCACTCCTCCCTCTCCGCTCCTCCGCCCTCAGCTCCAGGCCAGTGTTGGACTTCAACACCCGGGCGTGGGCGGGGTGATGGTGACTGAAACCGGCTGCAGAGGCTGCCCCCGCCTCAGGACCCGCAGCTGCGAGAGCTTGTGCACCAGCTGCCTTGGGAAGGGAGGGGGCGAGGGGAGCGGATCTGTCAGGAGGTGGAGCTGGGAGAAGACTTGAGAGAAGAGATGGAGAGGCGATGTAGAGCAGGGATGCAGTTAAGGTGGAAGGTTTGAGAGGATGGCAAGGAGATGTGATTGGGAGGGAGAAGGAGAGGAGGGAAAGAGGGAGAGAGGAAGGCAGCAAACAGGTTCTTTGCCTGCAGCTGCTTTCTCTGTGGTCTTGCCTAGCTGCCCCAGTGGAGCCTGCAGCATTCAATCTGGGCATGCTGAGGTGTGGCTGTGTGATGTGTGTGTAGGTGTGCAGCTGTTAGAGAACAAAGGCCTGGAGCTACATCCTCCTCCCTTGAGATTTCTTTCCAGCTCTGGCGATTTGAAACACAAGGAACACAGGAACAATTATGCATTTTAGTAATTTGGGGAAAACATGTGGACAATAGTAATTTGATGGTGAAGGGAAAAATTGTTGAACCTTCTTTCTCAAAGGGAGTTTGGAAGTTTTCCCACACCATAGCACATTCATTGTGTAATTCCAATTTGTTAGGAAAGGGTAACATTCCCTTAAAAAAAAAAAAAAGATTCCTACTGAAAGAATAAAAATGTTTAAAAACTGTCTGTGTTATCTCAACTACCCAAGGGTCCCCCCGCCCCCAGCAGGGAGTAAACGGAGCTCCGACAAGATAAGAGAAACAGGATAACAGAATAAACTTTACTTTGACAGTTAAGTAAAATAGGGTGCGAGATTACCAGACAGGACTGTTGACTTAGCGCAAGCACTGTCATAAAATACGTTATTAACGAGCCCCAGTCTCCCCTTTTAGAATTCCTTTGTTCCCCTCTTCCCCCTCCGTGTGTAACCCCTCCCGACATATAGTTTTTGCCTATATATACTTGTAAGATTTTTTGCTCGGGGCTTGACCTGGCTGCTCCTGCGTGAGTATCAGGTCAGGCCCCAGCACGCTGGAATAAATCCTCTTGCTGTTTGCATCAAGTGCCGTCTCTTGCGTTTGACTGGGTCGTCACTGATCCTGGGTCAGGGCAGGAGTCTCCTTCCGGGGGTCCAACACTACAACACACCGGGAAGAGAAATCATGTATATTTATGAGATTCACATGTTATATTACCAGTTATAGAACAGAAGAGTATAGTGGGATTAAGCTAACACTGTTTCTGTGCAAAACCATATTAGGGACAGCATGTTTTATTCGCGATTCACAGAAAGGGTCTGTTGCGTGCATTTTGTTTGTTTACGTTACATATTTATTATGAAAAAACTCATAATATACAAAAAAAATACAAAGAAAGTACAATAAAATCCTTTTGTACTCAGCCTCAACTACTGTGAACACATAGACAGTCTTGCTTTTCTGTATCCTCCTTCCCACCTTAAATTAACTTAAAAGTAGTTCAGATGTCATATTGTTTTATCCAAAAATACATCCACATATGTCTCTGAATTATAAGGATTTTTAAAAAATATAACCCAAGACCATTATCATACCTAAAAATGAACTAATTATTTTGTAGTGTCAAATGTGCACTTGATTTTTTTTTTTCTTTCTTTCTAACAGACAACTTAAGAATCACCTGCTTTCTTCCACAGGCTTTGTGGTGACAATACAGTGAACGTTTCAGTGCATAGAATTTTTCCTTGGAATAATCTGACACATCCCTCTCACTTAGTCAAATCCTATGCATCTCTCAGTACACTCACACAGAATATAAACTTAAATTTATTACTATCAAATAGTTGATAACTTACACAAGTGATTTGACATAAATTAAGAGAAGCAGAGTAGGCCCCTTTACCTGCGATTTCTCTTTCTGTGGTTTTAGTTATTGTCAACTACAGTCTGAAAATATTATGTGGGAAATCTCAGAAACAAACAATCCGTACGTTTTCGAGTGCCACTCTCAGCAGCATGAGGAAATCTTGATAACCCCGTTCGGTCCTGTGAGATGTGAATCCTCTCTCTGTCCCCTCCTGGGCCATCAGCAGCCACCTTGCTTATGGGAGCCATTGTCATGGCATCACAAGGCTCATGCTTGTTCCGGCACCTTTAGCGTTCTTCGTAAGGGCCCCAGAGCGCAAAAGGCATTATGCTGGCAATTTGGATACTCCAAAGAGAAATTGTAAACTGTTGAGTGAAAGGTGAAAATTCTCTACTTAATCAGAAAGAAAAAGAAATCATATGTGGAGGTTGCTAAGATCTACGGTGAGAATAATTTTTTTCACCCATATAATTGTAAGGAAGGAAAAGAGAAATTTGTATTAATTTTGCTGTTTGTTGCATCTCAAACGGCGAAAGTGGTGGCCACAGTGTGTGATGAGTGCTTAGTTACAATGAAAAAGGCGTTGAATTCGTGGGTGGATGACATGAATAGGAACTCGATCTAATTGGGGACCAGGTGTTATGCCAGAAAACACCAAGCCTATCCAGGAAGACCCGGAAACAATGGCACCAAACCGCTTGTGTACTGAAAGTGAGGAATGGGGACACAGACTGAGGAATTGGTCTGGTATTTTGTCATCTCACAATGTCACAAGAAGAGGGTGAGTAACTGCAATAGGATGTATTCTTGAGTGTATGTGTTGGGGAGACCACATTCACATAATTTTGTTACAGCATATTATTATATTTTTCAATTTTATTAGTAGCATTTTTGTTAATATTCTATAAATTTATAAGATTATTGCTCAATTATAAATTAAAATGTATCATGCATGTGTACATATAGAAAAATATATAGTATATACAAGGTTCAGCACTGTCTGTGGTTTCATGATATTCACAGGGGGTCTTGGAGTGTATAACCATGGATAGGGGAGATTACAGTATAGCTTTGTATAACGTGGAATGAACATGCAACTCATATCAAACCATTTTGCAAAGCAATAATAGAAAAAAGAGGCAAATAGAAGGGAAACTGATGATGTTGGGTGTATCTTCTGAGTGGTATATCCATTTTGTTGTTGTTGTTCTGGAGCAAATTTTATCTGTCACCACTGTTAGATAATTTTGCTAGGTTGGATCTGATAAATTTTAGCAATTATTGTGCTCCTAATAAGCTGATGAGATCCCTTTGATTTGTTCAGAGGTGTATGTGGTGGGAGGGGTCATTTGCTATTTGTTTCCCATACTTCTGCCTTAACACCCTTATTCTATGCTGTGTTTTCTAAGTATCTATAATAATAATAATAAAAGCATAATATGCTAATTAGACCAAACATCCTTCCGGATGACCTTCCGGAAGAAGCTGGGGCTTTGGGGAAAGCTAGGCTCCTGGGTGCCTTCTGGCGGCCAGAGGGAAGCCAGTGCTGGCAGCCGGGAGAAGGAAGGCCTATTCTTGCACAGATTTTGTCCTACCTTGTCAAGATAAAACTGCTCTATCACACTGCACTTGAACCAGATAAGCCCCTTGGGAGAACTACGTATTTTTCGGACCATAAGACGCTCCGGACCATAAGACGCACCAGTTTTTAGAGAAGGGAAATGAAGAAAAAAAGATTCTGAAACAAATAGTGTCCTAAAATATTTTATGTGCATTAAAACCCAACATCACAGTCATAAACACATGTAATCAACCCTGTAAAGTAAACAGCAGCATTTAGAACCATTTTAGAGCCGGGCAAGCACACAGAGACCACACAGAGCCGGGCAAGTAAAAAAACTTTTTTTTTTAAGTATATGTGTAGGCTATATTTGGACCATAAGACGCAGGGACTTTTCCCCCCCACTTCTGGGGGGGAAAAAAGTGCGTCTTATGGTCCGAAAAATACGGTACTTTCCTTGTAGGGTGCCACAGTGAGGCCGGTTTATTCTAGCATCAAAGATGTCAGTTTTAGAATTGGGGATAAGGCTAGTGTTTTTATTCCCACTCCACATCACTAGATTCTCAGTTGGTAAAACCTTGTGTAAAACATGACCAACAATTCTCCCAAAACACGAACAAATCAAAACTCTTCCTTCAAAAATAGGATCTCCAGCTGTCTCACTGTTTTCTTCTGCTGCTGTGGCAATCATCTTCTTACTTTGTGGACATTCTTGAGAAGAATTTATTTTCTGGTTGAAAATCTTCCCCTTCGTCTGAACTTTTATTACAATTATGAAAAGATTTTTTATCCATTTGGCTGCCAATAACCATTGTGAATAAAATACAAACTTCTGATTTCCTCCCTAATAGATGATCTTTTCCTCCACTGCTCCTCACTTATTAATTCCCTCACTCAGTAAACAAGAATCATTGGACTTTTGGAGAATGCCTTTGTTATGGCAGAGAGAAACTGAAACAAATCTATTGAAACCAGTAACTCTACGGAGGTAAAGACAGAGCAATAGAATTAATGTGAGAAATAAGAGTGATGCATTCATGGAATAGGGGTAGGATACTCTATATATGAAAGCTTTTGTAATCTTAATCTATGAAGAAGAAAGAGGAGCGGGGAGAAAAGGGAGGAGAGGAAGAGGAGAAAAAGGAGAAAGAGGAACAGGAGAAAAAGTGGAGTAGAAGGAGGGGAGATGGAAGGGAAGAATGGGGGAGGAGAGGAAAGAAAGAGAAGAAGAGTTTAAAGAAAAAAATTGTGAAAACCACAAAGAATGTACAAAGAGATGGACAATAGGATAGTAAAGATAAGAATAGAGAATAAATTTCAAAGGTTTAACAGGAATTTCAGAGAGGACAGAGAACAGGGAGAGTAAATCCTCAAATAAATAATTCAAGAAAATTTCTCAAAATTGAAGGACCCAATTCTCCTAAGTGAATGAGCCTTCAAAAGGTCAATCACTTTAAATGAAAATATCTCCTCAACCAAAGAAAATTATCATGAAATATTAGAATC